CTCCCCAGGTGCGGCTTCTTTGAGCTCTCCGTGGCCGATGGGGGAGGCTACGAGGCGGTGGAGGCGGCGCTCGCGGCGCTGGTGCGCGAGGTGCGGCGCGGCGCGCTGCACTCCCGCGTGCTGCACGTGCGTCGCGCGCTCATCAGCCGCCTCGCGCGCAGCAAGACCATGCAGTGGTAGATAGAGCCTGGCGACGCGGGGGGCGGGGGGGGGGGGGGTGCCACCTTTCCCGGGATGGTCGTCTGTGTTGGAATTCGTGGCGGTGCTTGCAGGTCAAAGGTCCGCACAGACATCTGGTGCCCAGCTGTGCTTGTGGTCAACTTTATGACGGGGCCGATTGCCGCACAGGCTTGGAGAGATCTGGACAGGCTGAGAAACGTCTCTGGGTTTGTTCCATCGTGGATAATGTGGCAACTCTTGGTCGATGGCTACCGTGCAGCTGAAGGGACATGAGTGGGGGTGGGGTAGGGGGGAGTGGGGGGTGAGGCGCTGTCGTGGAAAATTCTTAATTACAGTACACTACTCAAGAAAAGACGAACAGTATCTAAATTATAGATAATGGAATCACATTTGAATCATTTGACGGGACCCCGAGGTCCCGCAAAAATCAGGTCAATAATGACTATTTTTAGTCGGCCCACTCGTGATCAGCCGCGAGCGGCGAGTGGGGGTGGAGGGGGCAGACGTCGCACCCCACCCGCTCGCGGGGAGTGGGGAGGGGGAGATCAGCCCCCACCTAATGGGGAGTGGAGAGGGGGAGATCAGCCCCCACGTAACGGGGAGTGGGGAGGGGGAGATCAGCCCCCACGTAATGGGGAGTGGGGAGGGGGAGATCAGCCCCCACGTAACGGGGAGTGGGGAGGGGGAGCTCAGCCCCCACGTAATGGGGAGTGGGGAGGGGGGCATTAGCCCCCGCCGATTGCCTCGACTACTATCCAGCCATCCCGCCCAATCTCGTCGCCGAGTTGGACGACGACAGCAACGCGCCGCCCGCCCAGACTCGCGCCAACAACAAGCGCCAGCAGCAGGCGGCGATCGACACGATGGGCGCCACCCCACCGGCCAAACGCAAGCCCGGGGGGCGTCCGCCGCAGTCGCGCGCGGCGACGACGCCCTCCGGTCAGCCGTCGATCCTCAGCTTCTTTGCCGAGGCGAGCCCGCCCCCCAGGCAGTGAATTTAACGTGTTTATGTAATTTTTCAACTTTTTACGAAACTTAGTGCTCCGAGTAGCTCTCGACAAGGCCAATCGATTGACACTAGTTTTGTTGTCGGTAAGGCAACAAGACTCGTGTCGCTACGCGGTTTTTTCCCACCCCGGGGCAGTGATGGGACCCCGGGGTCCCGCCAATTGCTTCATTTGCTATTTGAATCTAATTTCCAAGAGACGTGGTTAATTGGTCAATTTGTATCTGCATCACGTGACTCCGATGACTTGTCATTTTAATGTATTTATTTATTTTGCTCGTCACGAAATGGACTCACTGCGATATTTCTTACACCGCTAGGTTGGCTTGGAGTAGTAACTATTGGCGTAAGGCAACTACCACGAGAGTCCTATATTGCTGTACCCTCTAGTTAAGTACCAGAAGCACTACTGGCGTGCCAGATAATGATCGTAGCAGCGTTGCGGACTGTTCGGGCTGCGTGTAACTGTAGACCACGCAGTGCTAGGGTGCGGTTCGCGAGGGGTCAGGGTCATGGGGGGGTCCGGGTCCTCGTGATTGTCCCGGCGTGGGCCACGTGCTCTCGCCGTGTGTCTCTGTCTGTGTGTCTGTGTCTGCGTGGGGAGCGGTAATGTAGTGGTTAGTGCGCTGCGCTACGAACCCGGCGACCCGAGTTCGATTCCCGCTCACGGAAAAGATCAGTGATGATTATTTGAGCCGGTCCCGGACCGCCCCTAGGTCGTCTCAACGTCAAATAAGTACCTGATGTGGTGTGTAAACATCACCACTGGGGGGACAAAGGCGGCCGGGCGTGATGCTGTCCACCCACCTCCATGCGTACCGTTCCGTGCCTAGCCAGGCACGGATAGGCAACGTCTCTCCATCTCCACTGCCACCACCACTGCCCCCGCTTAGCAAAGGTGCTGGGGCTGCTAACGGCCGCTCCGTGCGGTCCGGTGGACGCGAGGTGGACGCGCGCCCTCTCGTGGCCACCGCTGGGGCTGGGGCTGGGCGCGTGGAGCCCCGCGCAGAGTGGCGCAGCTTGCCTCTTGCGGCACCCGAGCGAGGCGCTATTTTGCCCCCCACCCCTCCTCCTCCCCTTTGAATGTATCATCTCCTCGTGAGATGACAGGCGAGATATAGACAAGTGATAGAGATGTGGCGGTTTCCTCCTTAGTATGACTCATCAGTAGAGTCGCCAACGGGGACTGTACTGACAAAGCCGATCGAACAGCTGTCACCTCGTCTCACCGCGGTCTGTCGGGTTGTCACATTTAGTCAACGTATTTATGGTGACTGAGGACAAGATGCCCACAGTGAAATTCTTCAGGAACTCGTGGTTTGCATACTGCTTCAAGAGTTTTCTGCACGCGCAGTGTACGTGTGTGTGTAGGCGCGCGGCTGTAGACATCCCTCGTTTTCCTTCCCGAACTACTTTGTCCGTTGTGGTGTCATGGAACGATGGGGTTGTTTGAGGGAGGTGGGACACAGAGATTCATTCTCTATGTTCATGGGCCTTTTATGATTATTTGGAATTTAATTCCAGCGGATATTTGATGCATTCCTATTTGTTCATTAGCTACCTCGTGCCCTGAGTTTTTACTCGTTTGCTTTGCCTGGCGACGCCCCTGGTCTTAGACGGAATGGGGAGGGGCTGAGAGGGAAGGGGGGCTGAGAGGGCCCGAGTAGAGGCTTGCCCCCTTCCCTCTCTGACCTCCAACCCCCCAGGCCCTACCCCACGCATAGCAGCGTCCAGAAATATCACGCAAGGTCCGGTTACATCCTCACTGTCCCACCGCCCACTCACAGTCTCTCAGCTGTACACACAACAGACACAGACTCGGACAGCCATTGGCAGTCTCACACACATACACTCGGACACACACACGTATAGAATGCCACGTGCTCACATATTCACACTAAAACCAGGCCAACGCTCACTCACACACACACTTTTGACACAAATTCACAACAGAGAGACCATCGTATTTGAATACACAATCACAATCCTGACGTCATTGGCAGGAGTAGGCCACTGTGTGTCGGCGTCACGGACCAAATTTTGCCAAACTGGACCATTGCACCGCAAACGACTCAGTTTGGTCTCAGCAGCGATGGGCGCCCCCCAACTGGTAGATAAAAGCCCCACTCTGGGATATTCTCCTCCTAGTCTCTCGAGGTCTCACCTGGATAAATAAACACGGGAACATCAACTCGAGCAACACTCGTGAAGAGATACCTCTACAGCTGAGCCACCGGCCGGTCGGCACGTGACGTGATTGTAAACAGGTGGCACAGGTGAGCCCTGGGACGCTCATCATGACGTGCGAGCGGCGTGAGAATCAACACGAAGTATTTTTTTTATTTTTGGGAACGAAATTTTTTCTGCACGCTGCGCACACAAAGACGATGTCCGATGTCGAAACGCCGAGTTCCCATCGAGCGAGACAAGACCGAGGAAGGCGTAATGGTCGCCTCACCACACCCATATTTTATTGGTCACCTCGATCACAACTCACGGGCGATGCGTGATGGCGATGCTGATGGTGATGATGGCTTATGACGTGGCCGACGCAGACCATGACTCAATTTGCCCTGCATGCGCCCCACCTCGTTGGCTCTTGGGATCTAAGCAGGGGTCGAGTCAAGTTGTAGTGTTTGGATGGCTGACCACCAGCATGTCCCAGGGCTCGTAGGCTCGGGCTGTAACGCGGCTCGGGGACAGCTGTTTAGAGCGATGGGTTGGGAACAGATCGGCGTTCAGTGATGGGGCCGTCTGCGGATTGAATACATCTGGCAGAAGTCCGAGTGTCGGCGTGGTGAGTTTCCTCGGGGCATTCCGGTTTCCTCCCCACACAGATCCGGACACTGATTAATGGGATCGGCCAAACATCCTCAATATAGCAGCAGGACCCTCTTGAAAAATAGTCGTGTCACTCGGGGTATTATGATAATCATCATGAAAAAGACCAATACGTGTGCCACCAACACTGTGGACTTGTGTCACAGACAATGTGCAGACAATACTCCAGCCGGGCGGTGAAGGTGGCTATACCACACGTGGCTGCCTGTACTCCAAGCACTGTGGAGGCAGCAACGAGGGTTGGTGGATCTCACACAGATGTCGTGAAACTCCCTTCCCGTGGCCGTCGAGGAGGAGCTGTACCCTGGCACGCCAGAAGGCGGTACATGTATAGCAAAGTGTGGACTCGTCACCATCTGTTCCATCTGTACGGGGATAGTTGCCCCCTCGCACGCGTGGGCTGTCTCCGGGTGCTCCGCTGTCTTCTGTTTAATAAACACAACTCATTAATTAGCTCAAGACATCTTAAAATAAATAAAAATAAAACCCAATTCAGGACTCTCCTGAAATAGAGTCCTACGACTCAATGTGGCTTTCCTGGATAAATAAGCAAATTATCGTCATTATGAAACACCGAGGTGGGCGGTGTTCGTGATTGGTGGCGGTACCAACTGCACGCGCACCCCCGACGGCTGGCGCTGCGCTGGCGTCCCGCGACCCATCGCAAGGCGCCGGTGCCCGAGCGTGGGCGCGGAGCGCGGCGAGTGGGAGCCACAGGCGGCCTCCCAGGTGAGTACAAAATATGGGATTAGCGCCCCCCATCTCCCCACAAGCGCTCGCATTACTGCGTCTCGAGGCGCCCAGTCGCGTGCCCCTCCCCCTACCGCCTCCTGCTTCAACTCACCCCCTCAAAGCAGACTCCTGTGTCCGCCTCACCTTGCTCACATAGCCACCGCTCTGCCCGCACCTCCACCTGCTCCCCCCACTCTCCTTCCAGACCACCGTGCCACCCCACCACCACGACTCCCCCAAAACACCCCCCCCAACTCAGGAATCGCTCTGCCCCCTACCCCTCCTCCGCCCCCCATCGACACGTGCGGAGATGGGAGTGGGGGAGGCGCACTCACAAGTTATTCGGACTTCCATTTCGTGCACATCATGGTGGTGACACGGGCGCGGAGACGTGCGAGAGAGACGCATCGACTTGAGGCTTGGACTCCTCTCACCCGGGACGTAGCGACACCTCACCGGGTCACCGTCACCCCGCTTCTACCCCCTCCACCTCCGTCAGACAAACCCTGGCTTCACGGTGCTCCTCCGGCAGTTGGGGCAGCCCCGAGTGCCGTTCCCCTGGATGCCCCTTTGGGGGTGGGGCGGGGGGTGGGTGAGAGAAGGTGAAGACGATAAACAGGTGGGTAGAGTGGTGAGATCCATCTGACACTCTTTCCACTTGCACATCCGAGCCGTGCTGTGGCCTTGCCGTGTCAGCGCGGCTCAGGAAGCACGGGTTGCTTTTCCACAAGCTGTGCCGCCGACGTTCCAGCAACGCGTGATGCGTGTAGATGACGCTGTGTTTGAGCTGTACTGTATTGTGCGACGTCACACGCATTGGTCATCAGCCCCGCACCCAGTACGCCTTAGTCCTAAGCCAAATTCAGACGTCGTTTCGTGAGGCCAGCGTAGCACGGCTCAGTTCCTGCACCACTCGGTAAAAACGCCAGTGAAAAACCATCCGTGCCATGCTGGACCTGTGCTGGCTCGACTCGGATGCGCAAGTAGAAAAGGGGTAGAGAAATGGACCCTGACATCTAAACATTGGTCATAGGGATGGAACGCTGCGCCCATTCATTGATCAACGTAAATTCGTACGCTCACAATGCACGCATTTTAAGTGTTTTCAGAGGCGACAATGCCCCTCTCCTCCCCCCTGCGCCCTCCCCCTGCTCCCTCCCCATTATATTCCCAATGCACGCTGAAGGAGGTCACTTGTTACTCAAGAAATCGAGGCACAAAGTGGTGCCATCTGCTGACACATCTGTTTGCGAGCGTGCACCTGGACGCGCCCGATCCCTGATGGGATGGGCGAGTGGCAGTTGTCCATCGCCCGTCTCAAATGCGGGAATCCGCCCAGAGGGAGCCGGGAGCCACCGACGTCCCCTCCACAGCGGGCGGCCTTGTGCAGAGGGCCCTGCCGGTGGTCCCACTCTGCACGAGCATCGAGGGCCCCGGCCACAAGAAGGGGCAGCTACAGAGCAGGCTGCTGCGATGTAACCAGCTGATATATAGACCCCCACCCCACCCAATCCAGACCCCTAAACCCGAGCCCAGATGTCGGCAACCAAACGAACAACAAGAGCCGTTTTTTTCCAAACTCGGTAAAGAAAAGTCAATATTACAAGAGCCGCAATGCGTGTGAAGGCAGCCGTGCGTCACGTCCCAGGGCAGTCCGTAAAGAGGTCGCGTGCGGCTCTGGAGTCGCAGGTTGCCGACCCCTCCCTGCCCTAGCCCATCCAAACCTTACCCTGGCCCTTGTAAAACCCTCGTGGCTTGCTTCCACCCCCCACCCAGCCCCCCAACGTACTTGAGGTGGAGATGGCGCGCAGGGCAGCGCCTGTCAGCTGCAGGTTGCGCTCCCCGATGCCTCGCCGCAGAGGCCGCAGTAGAGATCCAGCTCCTCCACGCACTCCGTGGAAAGCGGACCACGTGCTCGCGCAAGGCGCGCTGCTCGCCCCGCGTGCGGTAGATGCGCTCCGACAGGGGCGTGCACCTTGAGCAGGGAGAGCTGCGGGAAGGGGCAGCAGAGCGGGGCCAGCGCTTAGGGCCACCGCGCGTCTCGCTCCAGTCGAGTCTCGCGCGAGAATCGCAATCTCTGGTTCAGGAGCTTGATGCCAATGTGTGGGTCTACGGAGCTTCAGCAGTGAGAGAGAGTTCGTGTCGTGTCGCTGTTCCTGCTCCGTTGAAAGAGCGCAGACTGCAATGACTTTAATTTAACACATAGGATCTCGCGACCAATATAATTAATAATTACGTGTTTTGGTTAGATCGCGTAAACGTAAATGTATCGGACTCAAATTGTAAATGCTGTGGGTTTGCTCTCCAACGCACCGGTGTGCTGAAGTAGAAACTAATTAGCACGTACTGTTCACGTGCCAAGCCTTGCTAATTGACTGTGTCGGGTGAACATGAGTTTACGACAGTTATATTTACACGATCTAACCCAAAACACTTTACTACGAATATAGTTGGTTTACTGTACGATCCATAGTTTGGGTTGCTTGGCCACAATCACTCGACTGTGGTTGTGTCATTCATGTGTCTCTACGTGTCTCAACGTATCTCTTTGTGTCTCTGTGTGCCTCTGTGTATCTCTATGTGCATCTCTGTATCTCTATGTGCCTCTGTTTATCTCTAATGTGCCTCTGTGTATCGTAGATCTTTACCTGTCTCCGTGGGTCTTTACGTATCTCAACGTGTCCTCTACGTGTCTCAACGTATCTCTTTGTGTCTCTGTGTATCTCTATGTGCCTCTGTGTATCTCTATGTGCCTCTGTTTATCTCTATGTGCCTCTGTGTATCTCTATGTGCCATAGATCTTTACCTATCTCCGTGGGTCTTTACGTATCTCAATGTGTCTCTACGTGTCTCCGTGGGTCCCTCTGTATCTATACGTGTTGACTATATGGTCCAGAGTTTGTGGAGCATGGCCACACTCCCGTACGTGGTTCCGCGTGTGGAGCAGCAGGGTACCTTGTTCCCCACCGCATCAGCGATCTCGTAACCCTTGCTGAGCGCCTCCAGAGCCTGCCCCGTTCACACAAGGGGGGGTGGGTTGGGGGAAGTGGAAGGAGAGGTTTGGGCATGGGCCCTGGAGCAAGGGATGCAATGGGGGCCCCTCATCCACTCCCCTTTGTAGCTCATGGACAGCTCCTAATTGGCGATGTTGGAGTTGACTTGTGTTTGGCGTTGTTGTTGTGGTTGTTGTTGCTGTCTCGTGGTTGTGTTGGAGTTCGTCGTGGTTGCGTTTCAGCCTTGAAGCAAAGCGGCGATTGCTCAAAGAGCTGAGCAGTGATCATCAACAGTCCGTGCCTACAGGTCGCCTCGCTCCGGTCCATTGAACTTTCGTGACTCGATTTGCTGTAGTCGCTGTAGTCGCTGCTCGTGTTTGTTGTTGGTTGATGTGACAGTGGTTGCGGTTGTTGTTGTGTTCGTGGTTTGCCACGTTCACCGCGCACCTTGTCCGAGTCGCTCCGCGTGATCCAGCACTTGGCGAGGCCCAAGAGGACGCCCACGTGACCGAGGCGGTTCCCGATCTCGGTCATGATGCTGAGAGACGACTCGTACCGTGGGAGCGCCTTCTGCAGGGATAGCAACGCGACTCTCTCCGACTCTCCGCTCTCTCCGACCACACTTTAATATGACGTTCGAGAACTTTACGAGGTTATTTTGTCTGAACACCATCGTGGAATCACTGTGAGTCATGACAAAGCTTTGCCCGCGACGATTCGCTCTCCACTCAGGCCCCTGCTCATAGCATGGCGCCATCCACCCGGCACACCCGCACACACACACTCACTCTCGTGTATGTGTGTGTTGAAACTGATTTCGGACAGTGCTAAACTCGCACGCACTCTCACACGCCCTCTTGCGCACGCCCTCTCGCACACACACAACAAACAAAGATCCCCCCCCCCCGTATAGCCTTAACAGATCGTTGGGGCAAGTGCTGTTAGCGAGCATCTATGAAGGCCGGCATGGCACACAAGGGGGTGGGTGGCCAGAAACCACGCCTGGCCGCTTTTTTTCTCCCCAGTGGCGATGCTCACACAGGTACTCGTTTGAGGCTGAGTCGACCTAGGGGAGGCCCAGAACCGGTTCAGATAATCGTCACTGTTGTCCGGAATCGAACTCGAGTCGCCAGGTTCGTAGCGCCAGCGCGCTAACCGCTACACACACCGCTCCCCACTCTTGCACAAACACATACACACACACGTACGTCGATGTCCCCCTTGTTGCGGTGGATGTCAGCGAAGCAGAGGAGGCAGAGCGCCTGCAGAGGCCGGTCCCCGTGCTGCAAAGCGATCTTCATTGATTCCTGGAGCACACAGAAACAGCTCACCCGGGCAGCCGATTCAGGACTGTTGCGACAAGTGCAGTTGGCGAGGACCACGAGCAAGTCACGTGGACGGCACCACCTCCAACCGCTTGCAACTCGGTCGTACACATACATACACAGCACAACACGCAATCATTTATGGGCTGAGTTAACCTGTGGGAATTCCAAAACAGGTTCTGATATCAGTTGCCACTGATGTTAGCCGTGGTCGGGAATCGAACTCTGCCGCCTAGAGCAACTCAAATGCGTTATCCCTCATAATTGCTAAGCTTGCCAGATTTAGGCGTTCCGGGTCACTCGGCCAAAGGACGAGATTTCTGATCGAGCATCGCACGCGGCGCTCTGTGTGCGAGGCTTCGCCCGGCATCGGACTGGGGACCGGCGGCTACCCGCGGGGGCCAACCCACGGAGCCGGCTCGGTGTGGGGTCAGGGCCGAGTCGCCGCTCCGACTTGCGGCGTGGGCGCGGCTCGGGATCATCGCGCGTGACCCCGCGTGACCCGCGACGAGCCACCACCATCTCCTTGTTCTTTCCATGTTGGGTCCACGACTGCTCCCCCTCCTCTAACGCCGTTTTGGGGGCGCTGTCTAGGAACGACGGGACCAACTGGACCCGTACACGTTCACTGTGACGCTCCTCTCGTTAACCTCTGATCAGGCTCTCTGTGCTCGATTTGGCCAACAGTCGCTGTGCGCACCATCGGCACAGCAAAGCGCTGCGCTGCAGAGGCCTCTTAGGTTCAGTGGAAGTTGGCGCTTTAATACTGCGAGGGTAATGAATCATCCAAACGGAGACGTGAATCAATGAATATTTCTGGGGGATTCGTGACGGGTCGCAGGTTAACAAAGTAATGCCCGAGTCCGACTCTCGTCGTGGGTGTTGTAGATTCACAATGGCCGTGTCAGAGCGCCGAGTCAGCAGCTGAGTGCCAAGGTTGTCATTACGCAATGCACCACGGGGAAGTGATGTACCACGTGACAACCCTCCCCCAACCTTGCCTGGCTAGGATCCCGTGTCGCCACACGCTCACGCACAAAGATCCCCCCGCTTTGCCCCCTGGCCTGCCTTGCCAAGTTGTGTTTGCGAGCAACCTGTTATGAAGGCCGGCACGGCACACACTGGGACACGTGCACTTGTTCATGCGCGTCAAGACACGCCGGAATGCCCGTGAGGTTCACGGTTTCTCACAATGTGGAATGGATTCTCAAGGCTGTGCAATGGATGTTCACGCTGTTGTTGTTAATAACTCACTCGGCCCTATTCGGTGCAGTGTCTCAGCAGCAACTGCTTCCACCGTACATTTTATGTATGTATGAACTTCTTTCGCAAACGTACATAGCCAACCGTGCTAATCGGAGCTGATTTAGTTCTCACGTAAAGGAAAACGAACTCGGGGCCAACTTGGTTAGTAGGAGCAGCGCGCTAACCACTGCGCCACCGCTCCCCACAACGCGCCCCACGCACGCGCCCCACGCACCTCGCAGCACTCCATGGCCTCGGCCACGCGGCCCCAACTTGCGGTAGGCGACGGCCACGTGGTAGTGGCTCATGGCGCGGTACTTGAGGCTCCACGAGGAGCCGTAGTCGCTCACGAGCTGCGCCGCCTTGCACGGGAAGAAGAGCGCCTTCTCCAAATCCTGAGCCACAGCATCAACATCATCATCAGTGCCGGTGAAATCATCACCACCATCACCTTCACCATCATCTTCACCATCACCACCTTCACCATCATCTTCACCATCAACATCACCACCATCACCTTCACCATCATCTTCACCATCAACATCACCACCATCATCTTCACCATCAACATCACCACCATCACCTTCACCATCATCTTCACCATCAACATCACCACCATCACCTTCACCATCATCTTCACCATCAACATCATCATCATCACCACCATCATCATCGCCACCATCATCGTCATCATCCAAGCATTGTCATCATAATCTTCAATATTGTCATCAGAGTCAGTGTCATTACCATTGTCCAAGCAATTATTGGCATCGGTGTCATCAGTGTAATAATCAATCAGCATAATAATCATTATCTAATTAATCATTGCCCTCGTTACGATAATTGTCATCAGAGTCATTAGCATTATCATCAGCAGCAGCACCACCGTCACTTATCACCAACAAGCAGCCATCAACGCCACCACCATCATTCCACGGCAGGATTGAGGCTGATTAGCACTTGGATTGGAGACTGCCTTTGACTATCATCAGCAGCTGTAGACTTGGGTTGCAATGTGACTGGCAAGATGTGCGGAGTACAGAAGTGTGCTACGCTGCCGAATTCACGGTGGGTTTCATCCCACGTGTCAAACACGAGCAGAATGGGCCGGCTTTTCTGCATCGTCAGCATTATCGCCGCCAACATTAATTAATCATCGTTACTGTCTCATGCCCATGTCGTATGTGTACCATGCCGAACATCTCGAGACGTGCGCGTGCGTGCATGCGCGTGTGTGCCCGTCATTCCGATCTGCGGCAGTGGGGCAGTAAACGCGCTGCGCTACGAACCCAGCCACCCGAGTTCGATTACCGCTCACGGCCAACACCAACGATGATTATCTGAATCAATCTTGAACTCTGGTAGGTCGACTCAGCCTCAAGTGAGTACCTGGTACTTGATGTGTAACCATCGCCACGAGGGAGACGGGTGGCGGGGGCGTGGCGTCTGTTGGTCACCCACCTCCACACAGGTGCTACTCGCCAACAGCACTTCCCCCAACATCCCTTTAAGACCATACGGGTAACCTTTGTCTTTGTCACCCCAAACTCCCCGTCCCCCTGCCCGCCCGTGCCTGTAGCTGCGCGTAGAGCCCCCCCAGGCTGCAGCAGACGCGGCACTCGAGCATCTTGTCGTCGTTGTTGTGCGCGTAGCGCAGGGCGCGCTCCAGCGCCTCCAGCGCCTTCTGGAAGCAGCTGAGGCCCAGGTGCGCGTTCCCCATGCTCAGGTACACCTGGCCGTTCAGGCCCGCGCCCACCGTGGTGCCCTGCGCACGGCGCACCCACACACAGACGCGCACGTCAAGGCCCAGCGTGAATTCCCCAGGAAATGCGCATTGAGGCGGTGGCCCCCTTCTCGAGGTGGCTCCACCGGTCTGGCGTCACCGTAAACAACGCCACGACTGATGCCGTTATCTGGGCCACATCCAGATGTGATCGGTAGAGCTACGTGCTGGCAAAAGGGCCCTTTGCAGCACCATAAAACGATCGACATTGGCATTCAGCTCGCTGAACATATTGCCACACGCACGAGTAGAACAGCCAGTGGTGGAAATTCCATATTTATATATTTATATAACGGGAGCGAGTCCGTTCACAGGACACCGGGTATTGACTTCTCCACAAAGTGGGGCTCGTTGATGCTCATTTTTATCGATCCCGGGATTTGACCTCTTGACCTTCCGATCGCTGCAAACCGCTCGCTCTGCCGCTGAGCCGCCACGTGGCCACGTGAGAGGTTCGGAGGGGGGGGGGTCATTTGTTTTCCATTGAACCACAAGGTTCGCGAACTTCTGTAAAAAGAACTGGTTGCGTGAACAATGAAGTTCCCAACTGCATGGCTTTAAAACGGAACAGCGAAAAATGTAAAGGAGCAGCACGGAGTGAAGCACGCCTGGAATTGCAACCGAGAGCCCCTACATGGGAGTGGACCGCAGGAGAAGCGCAGGTTGACGCCGCACCAAGCCGCCCAGGGGAGCGAGAGGGGGCAGAGCCGCCACGGCCACACGGGACGATGGCCATGACGCTCAAAGATAATGATGACGGGATTGGGTTGGAACGCGTCCGAGAGGAGATGGAGCGATAGTGAAATCCGCTCGTGTGCAGGGTGGATTGGTGCATCGCAGGATCGTTAGTGATGGCGGTGGCTTGGAAGAGGCCTCTATCCAGCAGTGGATTGACCATGGCTGGTGATGATGTGAGCAGTGAAACTCGACATATTTGGTGATCTCGGCAGGAATTCCATAACGACGCTGAATGGAGTCGGACATGGCCACTCACGATTATGGCGGTGAAACCACGCACCCAGAAGGATGGCAGGCGTGCTCTCCGTGGTGGTGGCGACGATGATGAATGATTGCATGATGACGATGATTACGAATGAATGTTGATGGTGTTGATTGAAAGATAACGGTGATTGCATGTTAATGACGATGATTATTGAATAACGATAGAATATTCATAGAATATAAATGATAGTAGAGGTTATAATTGAATGTTGGTAATGATTGAAGGTTGACGATTGAACGATGATTGATGCGGACGTTCACGATTGATGGTGATGATGCAAGCAGCAGTTGCTGGTAGCGCCTCGTGCCTGCATGTCCACGCTGCACCGGCAGTACGACACCGTCTTGTGGAAGTCGCAGAGCTTCTCGTTGGCGCGCGCCAGGTTGAGGTAGGCCTCGGCCAAGAGGTCCGGATCGCCGAGGTCCCTCGCGGTGTCGATCTGCGTCACGGCGAAGCGCAGCATCTCGCGGAAGCGGCCCAGCTCGGCGTGCGCCGTGATGAGGCAGCCGAGCACGCGGAACCGAGACACGGGGTCATCGTGCGCGCGCTCCAGGACGCGCTGCCACACGGACAGCGCCCGGTCCGTGTCGTTGGCCTGGTACAGACGCAGCCCTTTCTCAATGCCCTGCTTCGTCTGGTCCTGGCCCATGGCGCTCGATCTCGCTTCGAGCAGACGATCCCCTCCCCTGCTCCTCCTGCCCACCCACCCCCGCCCCCCTCTCTCCTGGGTCCCCCCCCCCCACTAGTCACACAGCAGCACCCACGTCCCCCACCTCTCCCCAACTCTTCTGCGATCTGCTCAGCGGTCACCGGCTTCCGCCGCGACTTTGGCTGCTTGGAGCGTGTGGTGGTGGTGGTGGTGAGGAAGGTGGTGAAGGATGCGGTGAGCGAGGTGGTGTGGGAAGGAAGCTCTGGTGGTAATGAACCCCGTGACGCAGCGGATGAATGGAGGGACCTGTTTGGGAACGCGCTTGGTTATTCCTGCGCGACTGGTCTCTTCAATATCAGCTGACGATAACGACCCCCCCCCTCGTCGTCCTCCTCCTCCGTGTCGTCGTCTTCACTTCACCGACACGGATGCACGTCCGCCCGGATAAAGAGTGGAGGTCGCGCCCCGTTCTTCTCGCGGTGGCGCTGTCATGTCCTCTGCTTTGGTAACGGAGGAGTTGTGTCCCTACCGCCCGTGTCTCTCTCCCCGTGGCAAGCGTTCTCCTCTCAAACGGACCGGCGCCCCGACTCACGCAGCACGGACGCTCTCATGTCGACAACTGGACGAGCCGCAGTCCTCGGGCCGAAGAAAAGGTCCGGGAAGGCGAGGAGCCGCCTCTCTCGTCCCGCGCCGAAGAGGGGGGGGGGACGCTGCTCCGCCAACCCCCGAGTCCCCGGCCACCCCCCCCCCCTCCACGAGTTGAGGAGCCGGACCCCCCAGATCAGCTTGAGCCACCGCTCAGAGTCACGGCCTCTGGGCCCCTTCGCTCCCCGTGCTGCCCTCCTCGCTCGCGGCCGCCGCGGGCCTCGCTGCTCGCTTCGGGCCGCCGGAGTCGCCGCGGGCGGCGCGCGGCATTGGGGCTCAGGGGCCGAGGGGGGAGAGCGGAGCCCAAAACATCCCCGCAGCTGCGCCCGTCCATCCCGCGCGCTGACATCACCGCCTCGCGCCGCATCCCTCCTCCCTCTCCGGACAACGTCTCCCACCCCCTCCCACCCACTACCACCCACTACCACCACCCACTACCACCCACCACCACCCCCCACCACCCCCCACCCGCCACCTCCACTCCGCGCTGTGCGTGAAGGCGGCTGCAGGAGCAGCGCCGCGACCCCCGCGGATTCCGTGCGGGAGTTGAGAGCAAAACACGGGGGGAGGTGGTGTGATGACACGCAACGTGTGTGTGCGTGTCTCTGTGTAAGTGTGTGTAACTGTGTATGTGTGTACATGCCTGTCTGTATGTGTTTATGTGTGTGTATGTGTGTGTGCATGCTGCGCGTGTGTATGCTTGTAGGGATCGGCGACCCGAGTTCAGTGAGGATTATCTGAACCGGTCCAGGGCCTCCCCTCGGTCGATTGAGCATTAAATGTGTCCCTAGTGCGGTGTGTAAACCTGGCCACTGAGGAGACAAAGGCGGCCGGGCGTGGTGCTGGCCACACACCACCTTCATAGGAGTTCGCTAACAGCTCTCGCCCCAGCAGTCTGTGACGCTATGCATGTGTGTGTGCATGTGGTTAAATATGAAAAACATGGTCTCTAAGAATAAGAACGAGATTTTACTATTGTACAACTGAAAACATTTTGTTTGTATAATTACGCAACAATATATATATTCACATTTCCCAGCATCACACTTACACCACTTGTGTAAGCTCACGTGTGTATGTGTGCGCAAGTCAACGGAATAATGTATGCACCCATGCTTTGTGGTGCACAGGTGTACTTGGTGTGTACACACGCCGTGTACTTGCATGCACACATGTGCGCGGGCGGTGTGTACTCGCGTGCACGCGATGTGTATAGACATTGATTGTACTCGTGTACCCGTGTACCCGTATACCCATGTGCTCAGTCGTGTACTCGCGTGCCCATGTATCAGTGTACCGGTGTATCAGTGTACCCGTGTACCCATGTATCCGTGTACCCATGTATCCGTGTACCCATGTACCCGTGTACCCATGTATCAGTGTACCCGTGTATCCGTGTACCCATGTACCCGTGTACCCATGTATCAGTGTACCCGTGTACCCATGTATCCGTGTACCCATGTATCCATGTACCCATGTACCCGTGTACCCATGTGCTCAGTCGTGTACTCGCGTGCCCATGTATCAGTGTACCGGTGTATCAGTGTACCCGTGTACCCATGTATCCGTGTACCCATGTATCCGTGTACCCATGTACCCGTGTACCCATGTATCAGTGTACCCATGTATCCGTGTACCCATGTACCCGTGTACCCATGTATCAGTGTACCCGTGTACCCATGTATCCGTGTACCCATGTATCCATGTACCCATGTACCCGTGTACCCATGTATCAGTGTACCCGTGTATCCGTGTACCCATGTACCCGTGTACCCATGTCTCAGTGTACCCGTGTACCCGTGTATCCGTGTACCCATGTACCCGTGTACACGTGTACCCGTGTACCCATGTATCAGTGTACCCATGTATCGGTGTACCCGTGTATCCGTGTACCCATGTATCAGTGTACCCATGTATCCGTGTACCCATGTACCCGTGTACCCGTGTATCTATGTATCCGTGTACCCGTGTATCGGTGTATCCGTGTACCCGTGTACCCGTGTATCCGTGTACCCGTGTACCCATGTATCCGTGTACCCATGTATCAGTGTACCCATGTACCCATGTATCCGTGTACCCATGTATCAGTGTACCCATGTATCCGTGTACCCGTGTACCCGTGTATCCGTGTACCCGTGTATCCGTGTACCCATGTATCCGTGTACCCATGTATCAGTGTACCCATGTACCCGTGTACCCGTGTACCCGTGTATCTATGTATCCGTGTACCCGTGTATCAGTGTACCCGTGTACCCGTGTATCCGTGTACCCGTGTATCCGTGTACCGGTGTACCCGTGTACCCGTGTATCCGTGTATCCGTGTACCCATGTATCCGTGTACCCATGTATCAGTGTACCCATGTATCCGTGTACCCATGTACCCGTGTACCCGTGTATCTATGTATCCGTGTACCCGTGTATCCGTGTATCCGTGTACCCGTGTATCCGTGTACCCGTGTATCCATGTACCCGTGTACCTGTGTACCCATGTACCCGTGTACCCGTGTATCCGTGTACCCGTGTACCCGTGTATCAGTGTACCCGTGTACCCGTGTATCCGTGTACCCGTGTACCCGTGTACCCGTGTATCAATGTACCCGTGTATCCGTGTACCCGTGTACCCGTGTACCCATGTATCAGTGTACCCGTGTACCCGTGTATCAGTGTACCCGTGTACCCGTGTACCCATGTATCAGTGTACCCGTGTACCCGTGTACCCATGTATCAGTGTACCCGTGTACCCGTGTACCCGTGTATCCGTGTACCCGTGTATCTATGTACCCGTGTATCTATGTACCCGTGTACCCGTGTATCTATGTACCCGTGTACCCGTGTATCTATGTACCCGTGTACCCGTGTATCTATGTACCCGTGTACCCGTGTATCTATGTACCCGTATACCCGTGTACCCAGTTGACAGCTGCTCCCCCGTTGCGAACAAGAGGCGAGGAATGCGCGGAGCGCGCCGCTTTATTTGGCGAGAGGGAGCCGCGCGCTCCCGGGCGGCTCCAGGGGGGGCACGCGGGCAGCTGGGGGGTCCCCCGGGGGTGTGGGGGGAGCATGGGGGTGGGGGGGGTGTAGAGTGGGGGGGGGGGGCATGGGGGGTGGGGGGTGTGTAGAGTGGGGGGGGGGAGTTGAAGGAGGTGGTGGGGGGGGATGTTCGGGTTCCCATATCCTGTCCCCCCTGCCGCATGCGGCGCGTGTGTCCATTCACTCGGTGGCGACGTGTGGCCTGGACAGCCCCTTGTCAATACACTGCTCGATGAAGGCCTTGTCGGTCATATGGTCATACTTCACCAAGCTGGTCATCGAGAGCTGACTGGTCCGGGGTTCCGGTCCAAAACTGAGGCCACGCAAAGGCAGTGCCCCACTGCACGAGTTTGGGTCTGATACAAGTCTGTAGATCCTATCTAGTCCTATGGGTCCGATACGAATCTATTGATCCTTTGTAATCCTATGGGTCCCTTCCGAGTCAACAGATCCTATGCAGCGGAGCTGTCTCTAGGGGGCGCTGAATGCGCGTCCCGCGGGGCCACACGAAGGGCCCCACTCGGCATTCTCGCGGCGGGACCCAGGATGACGAAGACAAGTCGCTGACACGGAATGGTGGTGCACATCGCGAGCCAGTATCCACTACGACCCGTCGTGTCCCCCCCTGACCCAGTGTCCACCTTGACCCAGTCTACTATAACCCGTGGTGTCCCCCCTGACCCAGTGTCCACCCTGACCCAGTCTACTATAACCCGTGGTGTCCACTGTGACCCCGTGCCACCACTGCACTCCACTGCACACCTTCATAGGTGCCAGTTCACACCGCTTGCCCCGACAGTCTTTTAAGGCTATAGGGTTGAGCCGGGGTTGGCTCTGCAGGAGTCATGAAGCATCGTCCAGTCGTGTCCATCTAGCGTCGACTCGCACGACTATCCCATTCGCAGAGCAAACAGCAGTACTTTGTGTATGCAGTCTGCAGACAAAGCAAGAGAGAAACAACCTTCAAATCGCCACAAAGCTGCCACTGATGTTGGTCATAGTTTAAGCACCTCAACAATTGTTTTATGTTATAGGTTTCCTTCATATGGACTGCATGACCAACTGGAATTTATGTTGTTGCAGGCTACAAGTTCACCTTCAATGAAGAAGAATGGGACAAGATCCTTTTGACAGTCACGGAACATGGAAATCCTAACATCACCTGCCAGGAGATTCCACTGCTGCAGTCTGGAGCCCAACAGCTCTGCCTTACTCTTGGGTAGTTCCAAATCCCTGACAAGGTCTTTCAGTTCAGCTTGTGTTATGAGGTGTGGTTCAGAGGAGGAGGATGGGAGAAAATCTGGGTCATGTGACCTTGATGGTTTAGGACCAGAAGTTTCATCCTCTTCCTCGTCTGACTCAAGTGAGAATTATTATGGTGCATCAGTAACCGGCAGT